GAGTGCGGCCACTCGACCCGTAGCACCTCCCTCCTAGCTTGGTGCTGTCGATTGGCAAGAGAGACAACGGACACCAGCCTGTCTTACCACTGGACCTGTAGCACCTCCCTCCTAGCTTGGTGCTGTCGATTGGCGAGAGAGACAACGGACATCAGCCTGTCTGGGACTTGAGCATCTCGGTCCTGGCGGTACCCCTGGGGCATCTTATCTCTTATCTCTCATCTCATCCCATCTCCACGGGCGGCAGGAGATTGAATGTTGCGCCGGACTTCCCGCAACCTGGTCGCACTCCTCCTCCTCCTCCCCCTCCTCCTCCTCCCCCGCCTCCTCCTCCTCCTCGCTCCCTGCTGCGCATCAGCGGCAATGTTGGGGTCGCCGCCGTTCGCTTCCCCAGCGTCGCCGTCGTCCCTGTAGTCTTCGCCGGGCTTTTCGTTCAACTAAACATGTTGGATAAAGCATGCAATCAATCGGGGAACTTGGGGTTAGGGATAGGGTCTGCATACCCCTCTCCCTGTTCTATTTCCTCATGAGCGTAGTTTCTCGCGAAGGCGGTTCGTCGGTGCTGGTGGTGCTGTCGGGGTCCGAGCTAAGGGTGGGGTCAGACACTTCCTCCGCGCGGACTCCATCCATCTCTTCATACTTGACTTCTTTTGTAACCGAACAGTGAACAAGACTTTGAATGCAAAAAAAGGGGAAGGTTTGAGGTTTTGAGACATACGGCGGGCACGCGCACGGCTTTTACGAGTAACCTGTTTTGTTTTGTTTTTTCGCAATCCTCAGGCGGCGAATTCACCGCACTGTTGCCGGGCCGAGTCTCTCAGCGCCTATCTAACTGTAGAATTCTACCCTCCCCAACAGAGAGGAACCTCCTGTCGAGAACTCGTCCAGAAGTATTTGTTAATAGCAGCTTCTGTGTTCCCCACGGCGTGTGTGCCGAATACCGTGGATTATTTTCGCCCTCGAGATTCATTCCCCATTTTTCCGATTGCTATTGTTGTAAAAGTCTGTTTCTCTTGGCTTCAACCCTCCGCCTTCGTTCCAGCTCGCTCCCCCTCTATCTTCTTTTTCTCTTGGTTTTTACTCAACCTCATCGTGTGCGCCACCACGAAAGCCCCGAGCAGCTGACCCCCCTCCCCTACAACAATCTTTCTGTTGACCCCCGTTGTCCCGCGCTTGTGCGGTTCTTGAACATGTGTGTCATTTCTGCCAGTTTTTTTCACTCCTCGAAAATAAACCGTTCATTTTCTATGCTTTTTTCACCACCGCCTGTTTGTTCGTCACCCCCTCGAAAACAAACCTTTGATTTTCTCACCCTGTTGTTTTGTTTCACCCCTCGACAACAAGCTTTTCCTTTTCTCTGCCTGTTTTGTTTAGCCTCTCGAAAGCAAACCTTTCCTTTTCTCCCCCTGTTTTTGTGTCACCCCTCGAAAACAAACGTTTCCTCTCTCTCTGCCAAGAACACCGACTACGAGTACGAAGTCTCAGTACCCGCGACCGTGGACACCGGCAGCAGGGTTAGCGGGGTAACCTGGTACGAGGTGCACACCATGCGGAAGGCGGACAGCAAGGGGACCCTGGTGAGAGCCGGTGTAACGGCCGGGGACCTGGGACACGCTCTGTATGTCCCTGGGGGGGGGGGTCTTAACAAATGATCGAGTCTTTGTATGACGGCGTAAGTGACTGATCTTATCATGTAGGGCACCGGAAATCATCCTGATGATGGATGACCACATGAAAAGCTAGCTCCCTTTGGTCCTTGGCCTTGCTCTGCCGATGATACACACTTATACCTCGTTTCCTTCAACGTGTCACAATGGCTCTAGTCCTTGCTACTGCTCAAGTTTCCGTTCGTCTTTTTTTGTTCGGATGGTTTAAGGTACTAGGTGCAAATGCGCTTGTGGTGGGAGAATTGTATTCTGTTTTCTGTATTGTGGTTGGGTTGATGGCTCTCATGAACTGATCGCCTTGAGTGATTGTTTTTCAAATGTGTCGGCACTCATTCCTTCCGTCGGCCGTGAGTGGTTTGCGATAGACAATTCCATTTTTTTTTTCTTGTTGTCCACGCGGACCCGCCGCAGAAGAGCCCGACCTCGCACCCTTGTTTTGGCCTACAGTATGTATAAAATAGCACGTTCGAATCTGGAACTGCCTGCCGTGGGTTGCCCGGAGGCTGCACTGACTGCGGTATGGGCCTGGCAGCGACCCCGCCCGAAACTCGGGTCCACATGTGGCCGTGTTGGTACACATTAATAGTTACAATAGTTTACGATCTCATCGAGGTGTCGTTGTGGCCATCCTTTGTTCAAAGCACTACCGACTACAGTACGGACTTATACACACCGCCGCCTCCTCTTCGGGATGGCTGTTCGTACATCCGTGAACTCAACAAGACAAAATAACGCGCAAATTCCGAACAGGTTCACCGGAGGTTTCGAGACTTTTACGCGCTTCAAGAGCAGGTGAGGGCAAGGAATGCGGCGTAATAAACTTGGGGGGGGGGGATCCGGGACGAACAATGGTGCTCGGTGTTGCTATATTTCTCGCTCTGTGGTGGGCTTCGTGTTTGTTTACACCTGTCTGCTCTCTTCGTTGCTGTACTGTTTCGAGGAGAATATCAATGCTTGGGGCTGTGTCCTCCTTCTCGAGGACGCCGCTCATCATCAGCACACACTTTTCTTAGCTGTCTCAGGGAGGCATGCGTTCGAACAGCCCTGGTTGCAGTGTGTACGGGTGTTGGGGAGAAGGGTAGGGCTTGGAGAAAAAGGAGCCAAACTCTTGAGGGGGCGAGCTTCACATGGACGAGAGCACGACATGGTTCTGTTTCTTTCTGAGTGGCATCACCAGTTTCGAGAGGGGTCGGGACAAGCCGAGAACACTCTCATTGATCCGCTTTTCTCTTAAACTAATACCATAAAATACTCCGAACTATATTCATTTCTACCGGCCGTGATAACCCTCCTGAAATCAACACGTTCACTTGCACGACCTCTCTTGAACCGTCGCTACTACTGCTGTCCCATCTGCGGCAACCATGTGGTCCTTGATCGATCGGGTGTGCCGTGCCGCAGGTGGAGTCGCTCATGAAGGGCCACCACCTGCGGTCCTCCCTGCCCAGGTTCCCGGGCAAGAAGTCCAAGCTCTGGACCAACCACGGCGACTTGTCCTTTGTCGAGGAGCGAAGAAAGGCCTTGGAGCAGTACCTCAAGACTCTACTACAGGTGAAGAAAACGCCAGGGGGGGGGGGGGGTACCCATGCATGCCGTAGGCGTTAGACGATTGACTTGGCGTTCCTGCGATGCCGGGACGGAGTGATATGCCGGGTGATCGCCGGTTCAGGCTAAGTAAGGATGAACCAGAAGCTGGTCATCATCCTTGCGGCCTCGAGGTGGGGGGGGGCTGTGTTGGTAGCAAGTGGGGGCGTGGGCGGTGTGTGGTGAGGTGACAGCATTTGCGCCGCGTCTCCCCGTGCAGCAGGCTATCATGCTTGTTTGGTCAGCGTGCCCTACCTCTGCGTCCTGTAACTGCCGTGCTCTTGGTCCCGCGAGCTCCGTGGCTACTGGTTGGTTTGTGGCTAGCTGCGCTCGCGGGGTGCGCGATGACAACCCTGCCCATCTCGCGTTTTCTGCATACTCTATCTTCAATCTCAGCATCTACGTACGCGATTCACGCTTTTCGATATTTTAGTAGATGTGTGCTGTCCCATCTCCGCCGCTAGCGTAGTGCCCTCTCCCATTTCACGTATCTTCGTGGCACGCCAAACGTCCTGCTCGAAATCGACAACCACGCCACGCCACGCCAGCTTCCTCACGTGAGCACCCTGGACTCGACCCGAGCCTTCCTCGGGATGGTGGGAAACCTGCGAGAGTTCTCGGTGTCGTGGGAGGGGAAGGAGCTCGGCGCCAAGCTCAAGCGAGCCTCGGAGGTGGCGGGCGGAAAGCTGGGCGTCGGGGGAGCAGGCTCGGCCGGCCCGAACGGGGACGGAGGGGCGCCGCCGGTGATCACCTCTGTGCTGGTGAGAGGCAGGGCCTGTTGGCAGCAGTAGTACCCAAGCTATGACAGTTGAGCGCGATATGCGCCGGTGATCACCTCTGTGTCGGTGAGAGGCAGGGCCTGTTAGAAGCGGTAGTACCCAAGCTATGACAGTTGAGCTTGAGCGCGTTATGTGTGTGTGCTGGTGCCGGCAATCAACCGTAGCTAGCGAACACGTGGGCGGTTTACAGCAGAGGTGGGAGGGAGACGGTGGAAGGAAGGGAGGGATAAGGAGCACCATGGCTGAGGACTGACAGAAACGAAGACCGTTTGTTATCCTAGTACTGCTGTGCAATATTCATCCACGTCTACCTGCGGATGCCCTGCCCCCGCTGCCCTATTTGGGCCTGTATAAGGCGTGCGGTTCATAGCGGTAGTCGCTACACAAGTGTATTGCGATGTGAATGGTGTTGAAACATGCGGCCACTCATTGGCTCTGTTTCTTCATGCTCTTGAGCCCCCCCACCGCCCGCTCGGCTCTTGAACTTGACCTAAATGCTAAAATTAATGTAACGTACCCTATCCCAACTCTCTCTGTGCCGGGAAAAGGGCAACGGGAGATCACCACCTGGGGTATGTCCGGGAGACCGCCTGTTCAAGGTTAATGGAGACTCGACGGAGCTCATGTCGCTGGAAGCCGCCTGGAGTTCTGTGGCGCGGGCCACGCGGCCGGTGATGCTGCATTTCTTGGGCCCGGTAAGAGGGCTTGCTGTGAGGATGAATGTAAACGGGGGGCGAGTGGCCTCCGGACACACCGAAGCGTGCTGTGGCCCTTGTCGGCACGCTCCCTTTAGAGCATGCCACCTTGCGATATGTCGCGTCATGCCTCTCGGGAAACGCAAACGCTTGCTTCGCGTCCCCCGCCTCTAGCGTCTTGTCCGAACCTAGACGTACTTTTCTTTTTGGATCTCATCACTTGTTTGTGCTGACCTCATGTTCCTACTGCCATGCCCACGAAGAAGCCCCAATCGAAAACAATACCCGTTTTACACCTTGCCCGCTCGTCCCCCTCCCTGTGCATCGTTTCACGCGGGTTGTTTCCTCCGTGGATTGGCTCACAGATCCTCCGCATGGATTCGACCCTGGCCCCGCTTCCCGAGGCGTTTCTGCGTCACCGCACCCCCCCGGGGCGGCAACTCCCATCCACGGCCCCCCAAGACGGCGGACCTCCGCTCGCCGGAAGCTTCCTGCGCCCAAGCGGCAGCGGCGGCGCTTCCGCCGCGGGCCCCGCCGGCGCTGCTGGCGGTGTTGACGGTGGCCAGTGGAGCCTAAGAGGCATGCTGCCGGCATGGAGCCGGGAACAGCCTTCGAAGCCCGGGGATGGTA